CTTCAAGTTTCCTTTATAAAGCAATGTTCTATAAAAAAATTTATGTAAAAGAAATCATTACTAATCACGTTTACTGTATAAGGAAAAAATGCCCCCCTAAATATTCATATTTATATTGCCACATTAGCTACTCTGAAATTGTTATTGGGCAAAACTAATCTATTCAAGGCAGGTAAAATATTTATAAACATGATTCAAAGTACCTACATTCAGAAACTTCATAAAATCTTTTGAAATAATTTTCCTCTAAAAATTCAGAAATATATTAATAGCCATTGAATTGTTGTGCACATTATGGGTCATTTGTCTCCAATTCTGGTTCAGAATGGAGATTATGCAAACAATTTTTAGCCCCAAATTCTCCCCATGTCCTGCTAAATTTCTGCAAGAAATTTCTTTGTATTATTGCCATTGCAATCGCTATATGTAACACTTCAAATAGTATATGTAGGATCTCTTAAGTATTTGAACTAGAAAAGCAAAAATAAAGTTTACGAATTCAGCCAGAGGCAAACAACCAACTAGGAATTACTGAGTGGATCTAAGTTATTTAAGCATTCAACAGACAAATTAACATCTGTAACATCCCATAACAAACACACACACTTGACTTCTTCCTCAAGAGCAAGAGTTGTTTTGGCTTTGAAATCAGCTTAATAGTTGCTTCCCCACTTTCTTATAACTCCTCTTCATATTGCTCATCTTAATCATCTAGATAATTTTCGCTGGGAGCGGTGGCTCACACCTGTAATCCCAGCACTTTGGGAGGCCGAGGAGGGTGGATAACGAGGTTAGGAGTTCGAGACCAGCCTGGCCAACATGGTGAAACCCTGTCTCTACTAATAATACAAAAATTGGCCGGGTTTGGTGGCGCACACCTGTAATCCCAGCTACTCGGGAGGCTGGGGCAGGAGAATTGCTTGAACCCGGGAGGTGGAGGTTGCAGTGAGCCAAGATCGTGTCATTGCACTCCAACTCTGGGTGACAGAGCAAGACTCCGTCTCAAAAATAAATAAATAAATAAATAAAATAAAAATCATCTAGATAATTTGAATTTCTTCATCAAAGTTATTTGGCAAATTGTGCCAGTGCCACAACTAGAACACAGGAGTGACTCTTACCACCTGGTTCCACATTTTCATTACCTATAGTCAGCAACATTTCTCAAACCTACAAAATTCACAATAATAACAGAAAATGAAAAATACATCTAATAAGCAACCTAGGCTTTAAGAGAATGGCAGGGCAATTACATTTTTTTTTTTAGTAGAACCACAGGTAAGACTATTATATATCGTTCCAAGATTCTAACTAAAAGAGTGTACACAAAATATTAAACTCGAAGGTGTGAAAGGAAGTGATATATGATTCCTAATAACATGGAATAATGGTATAATTCAAAGCAGAGACATAGTTCCTACTAGCCACAGAAATTTTTGGTAAGAAAGAAAAAAAAGGAGGCAGTTTCTGAAAAACAAAAATGCCAATATAAAGCACACTTTTATAAAAACTTCTCAGTACTATTTTTTATGTGCTTTCTGACTATTAAGTACTAAAACAGGGTTAAATTGATTAGTTTGCTTGTTATTATTTATCAGTTAGTTAAATGCTGCTCAGACTCTAGGGTTCATTAGCTTATCAGTCAAATACCAGTCAGCTGTACATAAGGTCTCATATATCAGCTTGCTTATCAACACATATATACAAACTCAAGTGGAAAAGAAAGCCTATTTAAAACGTATATTTAGAATTGTTCACAATAAATATTTGACACAGTTAACCAAAATGTTTTAGCACACTCTTACTTCTTACATAGCATCATAATAAAAACATGTAACAGAATTCAAAGCAGATGGAACTCAAAGACAAGTCATAAACTTGTGTTTTTTAAAAAAGAGAAAAATTGGTAAAAACATGGACTGACTCAAGAGGAACTTGGTATATCTTTAATTTCATTACTGTATATTTAGTAACAGTGATATTTAATTTGACAAATATTGAATTCTCGAATAGATTATTTGATAGTCTGTCTGATTTCTATTAATTCGTGGGAGAGTTTAAGACAAGTGGTAACATTTAATGAATGTGTGTTCTAATTATCTCTCAGTGATCTGTCTGACATACAGTGAGTTATGAAAGTCATCAATAATTTCCCCTTATTTTTAAATAGCAATAATTCTCTCTCTCTAAAAAGTTATATCTTAAGGGATTTTTAAGCTATAATTCATAAAAAACAATGAAGCACTGGCTAAGAATCTATCAAAATAGTGGCTGACTACCAGATTGAAAATAAATTTAGGCTGGGCACAGTGGCTCACACCTGTAATCCTAGCACTTTGGTAGGCCAGGGCAGGTGGATCATCTGGGGTCAGGAGCTCAAGACCATCCTGGCCAACATGGTGAAACCCCGTCTCTACTAAAAATACAAAAATTAGCCGGGTGTGGTGGCATACACCTGTAGTGCCAGCTACTCGGGAGGCTGAGGCAGAAGGCTCACTTGAACCGGGGAGGTGGAGGTTGCAGTGAGCCGAGATCACGCCACTGCACTCCAGCCTGGGTGACAGAGTGAGACTGTCTCAAAAAAAAAAGCAAAACAAAGAAAAGAAATTTAAACATTTTAGTACTGGAGGCAGACTGCTAGGAATCTTAGCCAACTTGTTATCATAACTGTGTCTTCCTAAAGGCGAGCAAGAGAAATGCTGGGAAATAGCACAAAACGATGATTTTGAGAAAATACAAGAATGATATAGACATATAAAATAAAAGTATATAAACTTGTGCAGTGTATAGCAAAATAGCTACTTGTAATATAACATGAATACTGTGGCTTCAGGCAATTGAACAGAGAAGTGAAGCTGAACGCTGCTATGCCAACCAAATGGCAAATGTGATACCTGATAATGTAAAACAGAGGCATCCCCAGGGCACCATGTAAAATTATTATAAAGCGGTGAAATAACAATATAAAGTTAATTTTATTAAAATTAACAATACTTCCCATCAGCACGAGGCAATCTATATTCAAAATTAAAACAGTAGGAATGTTTATCTATTCAAGCATTCTGATAGGCTAAATATTGTTGATTGCTAAAAGAAATAAAGTTTTCAAGCCTCTTTTTCCTACACATTCATAAATACTCATGCTTATGAGTAATATCATATTCAAAGGCCTGAAATTAAAAACATGTTTCCTTATGAAATTTGGTATATCTGGCATGTCATTAAAAAAATTCCTGCCTACTTTTTAAAAAAAATTTGATGTCTTGGAAATAAAAGAAGGGATAAACTGATCAAATTTTGCACTGTACTGTTTAAGTACAATAAATAGAAATAGGTAAAATTAGTAATTTCACAGCATTATTTGAATATTAATGTTTGCTGATTTCTACTACTTTCTGATATTTACAAAATTTGCCAGCTGTGAGACACTGTGTTAAGCAGAAATATAAATTTTTAGGCTCTGTTAGCTTTCAAAAAATAGTATTGAGAGTTTTTTCTTGATTACAAAAAGAATGCAAGTTCATTACAGAAAAAAATGAAAATACAGAAAAGTAAAAGGAAAAAAAAATATTAGCCCTATTATGTTGTAACCTGTTGTCATTATTAACACTTTAGGACGCATCCTTTCGGTATTTTTTATCTATGCACCAATAAGTATATATAATATAAAGAATTAATATTTAATCAAAAGTAAACCTGAATGAAGATTATGTCATATTACAAAAGGAATTTTATTTTTTCATCTAAACTAAAGGAGTATTTCAGAACATGTACCATGTTTCACCTAAAGAGTGGCTGCAGTTACATAATAAACTACATCTGCTGAAGAACTAAACATAAGTTTAAAATCCAGGAGTTAGGCAGTCAATAGTACCCTGGAGTGGGTGGTGGAAATATTCTCAGAATTAGTATGAATTTTATTATTAGGGGACTGATGGATTTAATTTACAATATCTCAAAATTTTGAGGCACATTCTCTATTTTAGATACTTGAAAAATCTGTTTCATATGTTTGGATATCAAAATCCACTAAATCTACTATGATAACACTTCCTCTATGAGGCCAGTTTCATGTCCTTGATGATTAGAAACTAGAAATCATGGGTTATAAGGTAGAGAAAGGGGCAATTCAAGAATTATTTGTAACTAAAGATGGTATGTTTTTAAATGCTATTATCAGAGGAAAGAAACCAAACCATTAAAAAAGTATGTAACATTATTAAATTTAATTCAAGCCAAGATAACCTAAGCTTGCATTGAACACTCATTCCAACTATTTAACCCTAGCCACTGAGCTGAGGCTATAACAGCAGGTGGGTTATCAGACAATGCACTAGAATTTCACAAGATCGATTAAGTCAGAAGACAAACAGGAACTTCCCCAGCCTCTTTTATTCTTCCCAGATAATCTGTGTTATGTTCCTGAGGAAGGAAAGGCAAATCTTAAGCTTTACACTGTACTTTAGCACACTCTGTCTCTCTTCCCTATTTTATTTCTCACCTAGTTTACATTATATCATGCCATTTCATTTATTGCCCCGCTGAGGAATATAAACTATATGAGGGCAGGGTTTTTCACTGACATATCTCCAGTGCCTAGAACAGTGCCTGCAGGGCACATAGTAGGTACCCAATAAATATCTGTTGAATAAATGAATGAGATTTCTTTAACTGGATAATTAGGGTTAGCAGAAGTCAATTTTAAATATTCAAAGAAAAGAAAAATATTTTACAAAAAATTAAGACACTTCTGGCCTGGTGTGGTGACTCACACCTGTAATCTCAAAACTTTGGGAGGCAAAGGCAGGAGGATCGCTTGAGGCCAGGAGTTTGAGACCAGCCTGGACAACATGGTGAGACTGTTTCAAAAGACAAAAAAATTAGCTGGGTATGGTGGCATGCACCTGTAGTCCCAGCTACTCAGGAGGCTGAGGCAGGAGGGGTTTGAGGCTGCAATGAGTTATGATGGCACCATTGCACTCCAGCCTGGGTGACAGAGTAGACCCTGTCTTAAACAAAAACAAAAACAAAATCATAAACTTTTGCTCAGAACTTGCATTTCTCTAACTTTGCAAGCACAAATTTTTATACCTGTTGACCACCTTCATGGAGTTACTTTGAAAATAGTAATTACTAAAGCCCACTTCACTGAAAATTTGAGAGTTAATTTTTTAAATTTTCTGAATTTTGGGGTCACTGGCACTGGAAAAAAAATTACTCTCTCTGTTCTCTTTCTTGTAAAAAATTCAGTGCTCACCCACACAAATCCAGGCAGCTGCCTCATCTATTCTGCTTCATCTATTCTCCTGCTGAGGACATTCTATATTCTTATATCCCTATTGAACAATAGCACCATCCTGAAAAATTTGCGTACTGGCAATCAAATCATTCTGCAAACAGTAACGCAGATTCCAATGATAAGATGAGTGAGCAGGATGCAAGAACATCTTAAAGATCACCTGCCGCACTTGTGTTTGAGGTGCTCAATGGCTGTTTACACCAAGTGCCATCTGGCTCTATAGATATAATAACAATTATTCCATCGAGGTGTGTAGCTCCCTAAATCATATTAATATACAGTGATTCCACTAGTCTTATAGGAGTTGATGTCTTTGTGTGCTCTCATTTAACCTGGGTAATGCGCTAAAACAAGTCTGCCTCATCATTAAGAATTGATTTTTTATTTATGTGAATGTCACTGGCAATCCCATGATATCCCTTTGTAATTCAGTCGAACAGGGCTGCATACTAGCGTTAATCTATTTTTATGGCATATCTTTAAAAATTTGCAACATCTTGCTACATTTGGATATTTATATAGAGATTTGTGTTCCCGCAGAAAGCTGTTGTTAGCTTTGGAGATCCATTTCATACAGCAATAGGGCAAGTATCTAATATACTTCATTAGCTATCTTATATCAGATAAGGGTTTATTTCTTTAAATTATTTAACCTTGGTATAACCTACTAAAATCATATAAATTACAAATACACTAATGAAAATCATTAGTTAGCCTATTCAAAAAAAAAAAAAAAAAAAAAGAAAAAGAAAAGAAAAGAAAAAAGAAAACCTCCAACAGTGATAAAACTAAAACATTTTAAAATCAGCCCTCTGGAAGCATTTTATGAAAACAACTTCATGAATTTGCCATGATTGCTCATTTCTTAATGTTGTCATTGGTCAATCATTTAGCCACTGACGTTAACAACTATTCTGATATGCTAACATTTGTAAAACAAACAAACAAACAAAAACCAAAAAACACATCACTTTTTCTCTGGCTAATTCAAAATCTGATTTTAAAAGTCATAGTTAAAATTATTTATAAACATGCCTTAATGACTTTTGCTAATTTAAAATGAGATAAACACAATAAGCAACAATAAAAACAAAAAATACATATTTTAAGATACCAGGAAAAAACACTACATCACAAAATTATACTTTAAATCTAGTCTTCTCAAGAGTATTTACAGGATCATTAAATAATTACCTTATAGGGAAGTTCTGTCAGAACACCTCTCTTATTTAGATGAGTATTATAGACTTTGAACCTGTTTTTAAAGCAATAGCAAGCTTCTTCAGAAAGTCACTGAATTTTGGGTGTGGGGAGATATGGTATGTTATACTGCAGGTCTTGACCATTTTATGCTGCTGCTTTAAACGCAGAATTACTCTTATGCTGTTGAATTTATCATACACAGTTACTGATACTGCAACTCATAAGGAAGTTAAGCAAAGTTTCAGGACATGCAAATAAATGAGGTAACACTTCTTCAAATCTAAAGGATTTTTAAGGGGAGTGTCACTGCAAACTATAAACTACTGTAAGATTCTTGGTCTACAACAATCTCTTGTGGATTATTTAGACAATTTTTAAAAAAGCACACTGGGGCAAGTTTATTTTTCTAACTTGAAAATACATGTCCTAAAACTTAATTAAAGGCTCAAACTTAAGAAAGACACATTCATAAAAATCTACATTTGTATTAGATTGTGAAATCAATGCAGTTTTCAATATAATACATTAATATCTGTAATCCTTAAGCTGTAATTTTTACTAATATGTTTTCCAAGAGCTGCGTAAATTAACTTCTTTATGTATTGTGTATGTTATAAATAACTAGAAGGAATTACGTGCTTTTATATTCAATAAATAAATACATTTAAAACTCAGATACTTTCACTAAAATAGATCCACAAAGAAGCTTGGAATGTTTTTCTGTGGTCTTCAGAACTATATGTGGTGAGCAATTATCAGGAATAATACATGTGTCTGTTTTTGAATTCAGTAAGCCTTCTAAACATTATTTGAAAACTACTCCATGGAGATGATAAAAGGTGTATTAATCACCTAAATGCCTATAAATTGAGATTTAAGGTCAGAGATATTCCCTTAGTTTACTTAAGATATTCCTTGGATATCCCTTAGATATTTCCCTAGTTGTCCCACACGGGCTTGCTTGGTCACACATCATATCCTGGTACATACGAGATCCTGAGTTAGTATTGGGGAATTGGTGTACAAGGCTTACAAGTCAGCTTTTAAAACATAATAATGATAGCATCTATGATACTAGTCTAGTGATTCTATGGTTTTCTTTTTGTTAAAATCATCCATTACTTTAGAAATAAGCTAAGTAAAGAGGGAACATGGAGTCAGACTGAAATCTACTTCAAGGCTCACCTCTGTGGGATGAACAGTGAATGCTCTGACAATGACATTCACAACAGCACTGCTGCTGGGTATTGCTATAATTTGCTCTCTATGATTGTTCCTTTAAACAAAAAGCTCTGCGCTCAGCATGCAAAGAAGTTAGAAGTGCGGGAAGGAGGGGGAACCACACATGTAAGAGGAGAGAGAGGAAAAAACTGCAGATCAATCATTTATAATTAACAAAAATCCGATTGGTGCTTTAAATAGAGATCAATGTGTTCCAGGCTGCCTGGATTGTGGGGATGTATTCACCTTCTGGTAACTCTCCAAGCAAGCTGTCACACCTACAGAATCACCATTTGTTTTCTTAACAAAGCTTCAGGGGGCGCCAGGCTCTCATTGAAATTTCATTAATCTAATGGAGTAAAGTCCTATAGAAAAAAATCAAATTCTCGTTGGACGAGATGCTACCTGGGAAAGATAACCTCTGTTTGAACTCTCAGACTCGGATCTCTCTGCTATTAGTCTGAGGAAACAGACAGCAACAACGCTGATTACAGCCACCGGCCTCAACAATTTTTTTTTCTAACTAGCAATTTCGAGTGCAAGTGCCACAGTGTCAGCTAAAGAAACACAACTGCGGGTTTTCTGCAGAGCAAAATGGCTCTGAAATGTCACTGAATAGCTCACAAAGGACGCCAATCTACGACAACAGAGGCATAAGCATATAGGAGAAAGGGCCCACACGTCCTCCTTTCAAAGGTATGTTGTTTACATGCATGTAATTTGTGAAACCCACAGCTATTCAATTCAGGGTTTTCACAGAAGTCTAAACCAAAATCTGTGTAGAAAGCAATATCGAGATTCTTCCAAAAGTCACAGAATTTTGAGTGTGGGGAGATTATGACATGTAATACACAAAAGTAGATGCCCTACATAGTACGTGACCTACATAGTATAGTCTTCAAGTTCCCAAGGCATCATTTATGGCTGTTATGTGTGATGATACTTCAGCATCACCTCCATGTGATTTGACTCACAAGTTTTCAAAAGTGGCCTAAATCTGTACATGTCAATATATAGTAGCAACGGTTACTTTGAGAGGAAAATACGGAATGTTGATTCCTTAAAATTCTTTCCAGGAATGTCCCCATGGCTCATCTGACGCATGGCAAGGGTATATGATGGTACATGTATGTGACAAAAAGAGCCACCATGACAAAGACTGCATCTACACCAAAGTAAAATAGCTTTCGGTACTGCTTATTTTTTCCCAACTTAAATGTCTATTTGTAAAAATTTAGACTAACAGACCAGTAGTTTTAGGCACAAAAGTCTAAAAGAGAGAATGAAACAACCTGTAGAAAGTCCTCTGCTAGTCTCCTATATGATCACTATGTTTTGCACGAAGCAACTGGGCAAAGGAAGTTGACTTCAATCGGGCAAGATCACAGTCAAGTTCAGCACTGTTTTCTGATTCCATAGACGTCTAAATCTGGAAGTGACAGTGCAAACCTTATTTGTGTTAAGGAAGAAGAATTACAGCACTTTAAACTAAAAAGAGAAACTAGTAATTTGAACATAAACTACTACTTGTATTTCCTTTCTTTTTTAAACAAGGATCTAAAAATTGTAGCACATGATAAGGAGAAAAAAGTCATACTTGCAAAAAGAAAAGAAAGGTGATAACATCCTAGGCAAGCAATTGAAAGGATTCGAAAAATTCTGAGTCCATCTTTAAAGATACTTTTTTTCTTTTACAATAAGCTTGCCATTTTTCACCTAGGTCACATAAAGCTTGCTGCAGCTCAGGAAATGTCTTCAGTTTCCAAAGCCTCTCACAGGAGTGAGTCACTTCCTGTTTTTTTTTTTTTTTTTTTTTTTTTTCCATTTCTCTGTTTATGGGTAAACATTGCTCTATTTGGATATATTTAATATTTTTGTGTCTGGTCTAAATTTATCCATAAGGATCTAGCTTCTTTTCATATATAATTCCTTTAATTTCCTGTCTGAGATCCACCTGTAGAATTATACTTCCTGGTCTCCATCTACATCCTGTTTAAAGATACCACTGAGAGTAATATAAAAATTTTTTAAAATTCTAAGCATTAGGAAAATGAGTAAATAACACATTTATGTGTCTATGTGTATATACTATTTATGTAAACATGTAATATATGCAAAACATATATACACATATGATATATGCAAATCTGTACATAGAAAAACTTAGTTTACTCAAGATCACTAAAATTGATCCTGGGAATAAAACAATATACCTTTTCTAGGCATTTATCCCTACTATAGAGACAGAGAAAGATTGTGAGAGGGAGACACACACATTCAGATGAGCCTTCAGGGAATTGTATGAACTTTTGAACCAGAGACGGAGAGCCAGAGCCCAGCCTGTTCCCACTTTAATAAACATTTTTTTCTTCAATTAATTAAGGTTTGGAAAGAAAAAAAAAAACCACAGAAGAGAAGTAATTTAGCATGCAACGCATACTTTACAGATGGATCCTACCTTCGGATGCTTATTAAATCTATGCATGATTGCGCTGGAGAAAATTAATTGCATTGTTTCTCACTATTGGAAAAGAGGTTGCGAATAGCTCAAAAGTAAAAAGGAAAATGAAGCAAGGTGGTTGTTGTTTACGAAACAGCTATAGTATAAAAGAAATACTTTCAAAGTCCTATTACAAGTAATACCCACGACTGGCATAAGAGCACAGATTTCTTTAAAATTGTTTCGATATTTCAAAATACCATATATGTTGCTAGAATACATATATCTACTTTAAGTTTACAAATATTCTGGTCTAACTAAAATTTCCTACTCAGTAGCATTTGAACCATTCAATTAAGTGATGAGTTTTTGTTCAAATCCTGCTGTGAGGAAAGATTTACGTGAGCAGCTGGGAGTAGACACTGGCACACATTCACTGCATCATGGTTGGCTGGTATTCTCTCCATTCCAGTCTTGGGAAAAAGTGATAACTTCCTCATTTTTTTTCAGAGAAAAATAGAAAATATTATTATAAAGTATTCAGAATTCAGGTAATCATTTACATTTTATAATCTTTAATTAGAAAGAAAAAAAAGCACAACAGCTTCAGAAACTGAAGCCACTTTTCCTTTTCTGAAGGCTTGCTGGTGGAAGTTGAACTGAAACTTCTCTTAGACTGTCCTGAAAATGACCTTTATCAAACTTGAAAGGAGCACTCTCTAAGGAGTTAGACATTAATTTTCCTAACTCACATATTTCTAGATTTAAAAAAAATCCTTGTGTTACTTCCTTATGGATACTCCTTTTGGTAGGCCTTACCCTGTTGTCGACTGACTAAAAACATTTCACTTAAGAACTTCTAAACTTACTTGATTCCATGACCTAAATAGATGGTGGTTTTATTTTACTCTTTCGCCTACTCTAAGTCTATTAATCAGTCTCTCTAATCCCTGGTTAACACGTAAAATTATTTTAAATTATTTATCATGACACAAATTTTGCTAAAATTAACAAACTAAGTACATATAAATAAATGAATCAGTCCTATGTACAAGAGGTTTTGTAGATATGGGTAAATATATACATTTACTAACATGGAGATTTATTTATATAGTGCCTTTCACCAGCAGATCTTGAAGAACAATATAAATGACCTTATAACCTTACAAATAGTTACAGATATTATCATCCTTAGTTAGGAATGGGGGCAAAACAAGATCAAATGGTGAGATAGGTAGTACAAAACTTCTAAAACAAGTGTTCAGTTTTATTCCCTTGCTTTACCTTTTAAATCAGACCTACCTCCCTTTTAGGGTATTAACCAATTAAAAGTAGAGTCTCATCAATGATTAAAAATATATGTGGCTCAGTCTAGGCACTACTCAAAAGATAAAAAGCCATGCTGCCATGAGAAACCAAGCCAATGCCTTGTGCTGCTAGAGTTTTTGTAAATGTGACATAAAAACGTGTGGTTCTTATTTTATTGGTTATTAAAAACAACAAACAGGCCCATAAGGGATTGGACCTATATAACTTTACCATTATGAAGGACCACTGAAGGTATAAAAACAGGGCTAGTTTCAGAAATTTTGGCAGTCTCAGTCTTACTTAAGCCAAACCACTCTGACAGGTATGAAATGCCTAAATAATACAAGTGGAAAAAGGTCCAAGAAGGGAGATTTCTTAGTTGAAGGCACCTGAACCTATTTCCTGTTTTCAGAAAGATCTCTTCTGTTTGCTGCACTCCAACCTTGAGCAGCCACTCCCACAGGGCTGACTGCAGCCTATACCTGCACATTTGACCTGCCTCTTGATTCCAGACTCTTTCCAGATGTTCCAACGTTTACCTTTTAACAGTTTCCCTTGCAGTTGACACCATCTTCCCCACCTTAAATATTTATTGGAAATGACAGTTCTGTATGTCATCCTTAGCTATTGGTCATCTAAAGTTTCCGGACTTCTATAAAGAAACTGTCACATTAGAGTATTTTATTATTTTTCTGCATAAGTCAGAGTGAGCATCAACAAACAACTAGTCAGAAGCTGCGGGCAAAGCAGTTTTGGCAGCATGGATAACTCAGGCTCTCCTTGGACTGATTCTGATTAACTATGTGGAAGGGGTTACCCTGGATTCCTAATTCTAGAAAAGTAGATGATTGAATTCACTTTCAGGAATCCAAGAGTTTAGAATAAGTTTCAGATTTTGAGATACTGACTATAAAATAATAATAGTTAAAAGACAAAAATTAAAAACTCATAACTGTTTTAGACTTTATTTTATATTTCTTATGCATCTTATACTGAGAAGTACGCTATTCCCTTGGAGCAAAAAGCTCCCTGATGACTACGTAATTCGCTTCAAAACACTATATTTTGATTTAGCAAATCCCTGTATTCATATATTTCATGAGATCCTGTTTTCATGAAAGAGTTAAACTCCTTCTATAAGGTAAAGAGCTTAATCACTATGGGATGAGATATTTTTTCTATTTTCCAATGCAATTACTCTTTGTCTTAAATCTAATTGAATTCACTTTCCATGTTAGTGGGGGAAGGGAAGTGGGTAGGAGGGATGCAGCATATGTTAGAAGACAAATAGTGTAAACTGTAGACCTTTCAATACAGTGGATTTTTATAAAGATAAAAAATTGTGATCTGATAAAAAGGTTTAATATTCAGTGGTATGGCAGGCGTGGGGGAGATTTTGGCCATCGGAAACTGGATTTTGTGTATGGAGAACATCAGGGACATTGCATAAGGAACATTCATATTTATAATTTATAAAGCACCTTGGGATTCTCTAGATGAAAAGCACCATATAAATATGAGCATTTTCATTTCATGTGGGTGATCACAGATTGTTGGCATTTCAGCACAAACCATATTTCAGTAGGGAAAGGGATATAAACTCTTATGTAGATTTGGTTTTGCTGCCATTTTCTCTTCCCTGAGTTGTAACATACACAATGGAGCATGCCCTTATTGGCTGATTCCTTTCGCTTTTCTAAAGTTCCTGTCTATTTCATTTGTCTTTGTGGTGTCAGTGTACTGTCTAGCATTTGGCTTTATACTCATAAGCTAGACTACTGAAGGAAGTAAACATTTATCTTGGATCTATCTGGTATAGTGTTTTCCATCCTTCAGTATTTCTGATGTATAAGGGAGGAAAACCTCCAGATATCACTGAAGGGGGAAGAGGGGGAGGCTATCACTCTGTGGCACATTAAGACATAGTATAGAACAGGAGACTGCTATT